GTGCTGGGATTACAGGTGTGAGCCACTGCACCTGGCCTAATTTTTTTAGTATATTTTTTGTCTCCCTGTTTTGCCCAGGCTGGTCTCAAACTCCTGGGCTCAAGCGATCCTCCTCCCTCAGCCTCCCAAAGTGCTGGGATTGCAGGCCACTGCGTGCAGCCCCACAGTCTTTTTTAAATTGACAAAAAATAATTGTATATATTTATAGTGTATAGTGCAATGTTATGATATGTATATAATGTCATGGAATTACTAAACCAACTGTATCTGTCACGTCACATACTTATCATGTCTTTGTAGTGGAAAGATTTAGAATCTATTCATTTAAAAATTTTTACATATGTAATTCATTATTATTGGCTGGGCACAGTGGGTCATACCTGTAATCCTAGCGCTTTGGGAGGCTGAGGCGGGATGATCACTTAAAGTTGGGAATGGGCAACAATGGGAGACCTGTCTCTATAAAAATTTTTTTAAACCACAATACATTATTATTATCCATAGTCATGGTGCTGTGCAAGAGATCACTAAAACTTCTTCCTCCTGTCTAATTGAAACTTTGTGCCTTTCACCAACAGCTCCCCTTTCCCCGTCCACTCCCTCCAGCAGCCCCTGGTGACCACTATGCTACTTTATGCTTCTATGAGTTCCACATTTTTTTAGATTTCACATGTAAGTGAGATCAGACAGCATTTGTCTTTCTGTGTCTGGCTTCTTTTACTTAGCCTAATGTCCCCCAGTTTCATCCACATTTTTGTAAATGAAAGAATTTTGTTTTTTGTGGGTTTTTTTGACACGGAGTTTCGCTCTTGTTGCCCTGGCTGGAGTACAATGGCGCAATCTCAGCTCACCGCAGCCTCTGCCTTCTGGATTCAGGCAATTCTCCTGCCTCAGCCTCCCAAGTAGCTGGGATTATAGGCACGTTGCCACAGCTGGCTAATTTTTGTATTTTTAGTAGAGACGGGGTTTCTCCATGTTGGTCCGGCTGGTTTTGAACTCCCAACCTCAGGTGATCTGCCTGCCTTGGCCTCCTAAAGTGCTGGGATTATAGGCATGAGCCACGGAGCCCAGCCAAATTTTGTTTTTATGATTAAATAGTATTCCATAGTGTGTATATACTACATTTTCCCAATCCACTCATCTGCTGATGGGCACTTAGGTTGCTTCCACATCTTGGCTGTTGTGAATAGTGCTGCAGTGAACATGGAGGGCAGAATCTCTTCATCTAACGTCTTTTTTTGAGGAGGGGTCTCACTGTATCACTCAGACTGGAGTACAGTAGCGTGATCTTGATTCACTGCAACCTCCGCCTCCTGGGTTCAAGCAATTCTCCCGCCTCAGCTTCCCAAGTAGCTGGGATTATAGGAGGGCACCACCATGCCCAGCTAATTTTTGGTAGAGATGGGGTTTCACCATGTTGGCCAGGCTGATCTCAAACTCCTGACCTCAATTGATCTGCCTGCCCTGGCTTCCCAAAGAGCTGGGATTATAGGCGTGAGCCACTGTATCCAGCCTCATCTCATCTGACATCTTTTTAAGGCATTTGTGCTATATTTGTGTTTAGTCTTCTTAAGAATTTTCTAGTTTCTCTATCCTGGATACTAATCTGGGGGTTGTTTTCTAGAACTCGGAGGTCCCAGAAGAGTCAGCTCAAAAAAATACCTTTGTCAGTTACTGAAGGAAACAAAAGGCAACTTCAGTATTCATCAGGATCGTGGGTAAGTCACCTTTGCTTATCTCACCCTATATCTCAATTAATATTTAATAAGTAACTTGGGAACATTGATAACGTGGAGTCAAGGCCAGGCATTTGACCTGCAATACTTTCTCTTTTGCTCGACCAATTTATACATACCTTCTAAATTTAATCAGAGTAAAATATCAATTACTTGCAAGTGAAATGCAGATCAAAAAGTTCTTGTTCTCCTGCACTTCAGCCTGGGAACAGAGTGAGACCTTGTCTCTTTTAAAACAAGCTATTATTCTCAATGCCTAGAATTTTAAATCTAGGGAATGAATACATAGACACAGCTTTAAAAATCAGAATCTGATATGAAAAGATGCTCAACATCACCAATGATCAGGGAATGCAAATCAAAACCTCAGTGCGATACCACCTTGCTCAAGCAAGAATGGCCGTAATTTAAAAATCAAGAAATAATAGATGTTGGCGTGGATGTGGGGAATAGGGAACACTTCTACACTGCTGGTAGGAATGTAAACTAGTACAACCACTATGGAAAACAGTGTGGAGATTATCCTTAAAGAACTAAAATTAGAACTACGATTTGATCCAGCAATCCTACTTTCAGGTATCTATCTGGAGGAAAAGTAGTCATTATATGAAAAAGACATTTGTACACACATGTTTATAGAACTACAATTCGAAATTGCAAAAATACAGAACCGGTGCAAATGCCCATCAATCAACTAATGGATAAAGAAAAGGTGGTATATGGGCAGGGCGTGGTGGCTCGTGCCTGTAATCCTAGCACTTTTGGAGGCCAAGGCAAGTGGATCACCTGAGGTCGGGTGTAGGGCTGTTGGTCCCACAAGGTCGTGGGGTGTCCTTTATGCTGTGCTGAGGTGCAGGGTCTGAGAAGTAAAGAGACAGGATGCTGAAGAACTGGTGAAGAGCAGCTGGACTCGGAGGGCCACGCCACTTATGAGCAGAGACTGGCAAGGCCCCGAATGCCCAGAAGCATCTGTATTTTTTACGTACAAGCAGGGGGAAGGGTTGTAAGTGAGGTCATCATCTGTAGGCTTAGTGATAGGGCATACATAATCACGTGAGTCACAATCGAAGGGGCCACCCCATTATGTCATCTGGACAGAGAGGTGGGCCATGTGCAGTAGGGGGCCATGCTGTGTGCAGTAGCAAAGGGTCGTGTACAGAAAAGGGGTCCACCCCCATTAGGTCACTGAGGCAAGGAGGTGGGCTATGTGCAACAGGTGTCATGCACAACACTTCTTATCTGGGGGCTGGAGACCTCAAAGGGTTTCTAATAGAAGGATAACTGTAAGCCAATGCAGTGGGAGCTGACAGACTTGTGCTCTTCTCTTAAGATATTTATGGGAGGATGATTTGAGCTAGCACAGAAGTGAGAAAGGTGACTGGGTGTACAGCCGCTGTGACTGGTCACACCAGAGGGGCTCTTCTCCCTTGGTTATTTGCGGGATTTCAGGCCTGAGGCCTACTTTCCACTGGAACTGGATGCAAGGTATTACAACTCCTTTATCAGGAGAAGAGGCTCTTGCTCCAAGCCTGCCATACAGTGTATGCCCTTTCAGGCAGGGACGCCACTGCCTGGGTCTTTGGTTCTTGTCCTGGTCTAGCTGTTTTCCCATGTACTGCTTCTGTTCTGTGACTGCTCTAGGCATTCCTCCTACTACAAACTACTATATATACGGTTATATAGAAGGATTATATAAATCAGCACCAAATGTGTCAGTACAGCTCTGACTACATCCATTATATGATTATATAGAAAGATTATATGGGATTAAGTGTGATTATATATATAAGCTAGATATAAATAAGCAGTGAATTATACTTCAGGCACTAATTGTGCCTGGGGTCTGCACAGTTCTCCTTCCTTGGTGCCCATGGGAGGGTTGTTATCCACAGTCTGGAATTCGAGACCAGCCTGGCCAACATAGTAAAACCCTGTCTCTACTAAAAATACAAACATTAGCCGGGCATGGTGGCACGCGCCTGTAATCCCAGAATTGTGCCACTGCACTCCAGCTTGGGCAACAGAGTGAGACTCTATCTACAAAAAAAAGAAAATAAAATAAAAGAAAATGTGATACATGTGTACCATGGAATACTACTCAGCCATAAAAAGGGATGAAATAATGTCATCTGCAGCAATCTGGATGGGATTGGAGACCGTCATTCTAAAATAAGTAACTCAGGAATGGAAAACCAAACATCGTATGTTCTCGTGCGTAAGTGGGAGCTAAACTATGAGGATGCAAAGGCATAACAATGACATAATGGGCTCTGGGGGTTCAGGGAAGGATGGGAAGATGGGTGAGGGATAAAAGACCACACATTGGGTGCAGAGTACACTGCTCGGCTGATGAGCACATCAGCATCTCAGAAATCATCACTAAAGTACTTATCCACGTAACCAAACACCACCTGTTCTCCAAAAACTATTAGTCAAATAATTTATTAGAAAAAAATTATAGCTGAAAAAAAATCAGAATCAATGTTTCAGCGTTTCATCTGAGTGTCTGTCCGGAAAGAAGTCTTTTTTTCTTTTTTCTTTTTTTTTTTTTTTTTTTGAGACAGAGTTTCGCTCTTGTTACCCAGGCTGGAGTGCAATGGCGCGATCTCGGCTCACCACAACCTCCGCCTCCGGGGTTCAGGCAATTCTCCTGCCTCAGCCTCCTGAGTAGCTGGGATTACAGGCACGCGCCACCATGCCCAGCTCATTTTTTGTAGTTTTAGTAGAGACGGGGTTTCACCATGTTGACCAGGATGGTCTCGATCTCTTGACCTCGTGATCCACCCGCCTCGGCCTCCCAAAGTGCTGGGATTACAGGCCTGAGCCACCGCGCCCAGCCTTTTTTTTCTTTTTTTGAGGTGGAGTCTTGCTTGTTGCCCAGGCTAGAGTACAGTGGTACAATCTCAGCTCACTGCAACCTCTACCTCCTAGGTTCAAGTGATTCTTCTGCCTCAGCCTCCCAGGCAGCTGGTATTACAGGCGTGCACCACCATGCCTGACTAATTTTTTTGGTATTTTTAGTAGAGACAGGATTTTGCCATGTTGGCCAGGCTGGTCTCGAACTCCTGAGCTCAAGTGATAGACCCGCCTTGGCCTCCCAAAGTGCTGGAATTAAAGGTGTGACCCACCATGCCTGGCCAAGGAGTCTTTACATGGGGTAAAGCTTTATAAAAGTTTCACATGGGGTAAAAGCTTCATAAAAACGTTTATTGACCCAGTAAGCACTTTCTGGATTTGTGTTTACTTCTATCAAACCTGCATTTCATATGCAGTTTCTTCAGAACCCAGTCTGATAAGCTAAAGGGTACAGGCATTTCAGATCTTTTCAAGGTAAGCATAACAGCGTATCAAAGACTCTGGGGAAGCAGGAAGCCTGAGCAGCACCATCCCCACCCCCGTCCCTCCTCTTCTCTCCCTCTCCCTCTCTCTGCTGAGTTTTCATATTTGTAGTATTTTGCATGTCCTGATGTTGATGAAAATCAGGATGTGTAGTTAACATTTTAGATGACAGAACTTATAGCACACTCTCCGATGTTAATTGATCGTATTTTATTAATGTCGTGTTTCTTCATCCAAAAGCAGATTTCTCATCTATGTGGAAGGCAGAAAGCAGATGCTAATACCGAACGAATGCTTAACTGTAAAACTAAAAGAGGATTCTAGTTCTTCGTAAACAACACTTAATTCCAACGCAGAGCAGAATCAGAAAGGTTAATTTTTAAACATCTACACTTTGTTTATTTTCAAGTTAACCATTTTTGTGCAGAAGAAATATTTTCATGTGTAAGAAATTAGACCTTATTGTACATATACAAACTTGGAATTATGCTAAGAATGAAAAAGACTTCTCTATAAAGATACAGACTACAGTTAAGTACTAGAGAAGCTCTTTAAAAGTGTAAACGTCAAATAGAGAAAGAACCCCTGCATATAAAGTGCTGTTTTAACTCTCTGATTTTTAAAAAATCTGTGCATACAAATTTAAATTATAAACAATAGCTTATCAGAGTCAGGTCAAAATATTTGAGAAATAGTATTCTCTCATGGTTTTAGCTCTTGACTTTGCTGTGTAAATAGACGTAAAGTGCTTTGAAATAAAATGTGACTGGAAAATAGCTCCTTGGTTACTCAAGGTCCTTCTGTCCCAAGCTGAGCAGAGCCCCGTCTTCCTGGGTTTATAGCAGTCCCACCTACTTACACAAACAAAAGCTTGCTGGCAGATCAAGTTTTATATGCATTTAAAAAAATCCTAAAGACTAAAGCACTTCCGTTTTAACTTGTAAAATAATTTAATTTTTTAAAGAATATACTCTGTGCCTCTGTGTCTTTTCTGAAAGAATTGATCAGCTTCAGTCAATAAAAGATATTTTTAATACTAAAGAAAAAATATGTTTCCTTGGTTTCTTTTTATTTCACAGGAGTAAAATAAGGAAGGTCCATCGCTTTAAACTGAACCTGGCAAGTTAATTTCCTCAGGAATGGGAACGTATTTTTTTAAGCATTGCAGATATCAAAGTTCTATTGTGCTGAATAAATGCCCCTTTGTTAACAGGTTTCAGTGTTACTTCAGAGATGATTTTCTTTTCTTTTTTTTTTTTTTTTTTCAGA